TATATCTACCTTACCAAGTTCTTTCTGTCCTTCAGTTGAAACATTTTGCTATCTTATTTGTTCAAATACAGCATCTTGCATTCCTAGAAAGAACTTCAAGTTATTAGTGAAGGACCTATTGAATTCTGGTCTTGATACCATACGAGGCACAGATACTCCATACGTTCTTCAACTGTCCACTGAAGCTGTTGTCTTGCAGGAAAGTGCAGCATCCATATGAGTCACTGGTTTCAGGACTATTAGCAGGAAATCTAGATGTTGTGCTAAAATTATCTTAAAGTTGGATTCAAACATGATCACCATTGTTATCATGCTTTCTAGTTAAGTTTCGCTTGTCTCTTTTTCACTATTTCCTTAAAAATATATATGCCTGATTTTCCTATATATTATATTTATAACAAAATTGATTTTGCCCCAAGAACCTTAACAGTTTACCCATCACTTTCTCCTATATAGTTTTGGATCCTTTCTCATGTTTTCTTCCCCAAAATGGGAAGAATAACAAAAAGAAATTTTATAATACTCATTTTATAAAAGACAAAAAAAAGAATGAATATTTTTGTTTATGCTGTTGGCCCTGAAGATATTAAGTGAACTATTACAGTAAACCCATTGTCATAGTCAGGTTAAATTTACAATTTAAAAATAAACAAAACAGAAGAAAATAGTATTATAAACAGCATAAAGAATACATTTTTACCTGATACAGAGCATAAAATGTACATAATGCAATCAATTTAATTGTTGAGTAATGCTGAACCACCGATAATAACATAAATCAATTTTAAAGCTTGTTTAGTTGACAAAGAAACATAGTCAACATTTCTTTTTAAAAAAATTCCTTCCTCTTTGGGAGTATTTATGGTATATTGCTAGTCTAAGACTCACTAACCAGCTTGTTCCTGATGTCCATATCACAGAGTGCTTCAGCCAAAATAGTGCAAGCTTCTTTCACCCCCCAGTGTGCAGCAGCATGGAGTGGTGTCCATCCATCATTGTCCTGAATATTTACATTAAACCCAGCTTGTATCAAGAGTCTAAGGAAAAAATAGCAAAGATGGCAGCAATTCAGTCTTGTAAGTTAGTAAACACTGTAAGCAGCATGCAGTGGCTTTGTGAATGAAGCTTATCCTATGACAGAGATCAGTGTGATCAAGTAGACAGCTCTAAATGGTAAAAAAGAAGTCAAGTTTAAGGTAAAGGATAAAATAGCTTCTTCCTAACAATGATGGTAATTAATGATTGACCTTAGAGATGGAATTGAAGAATCTGAGAAAAAGAGAGCTCAAACAGATTTTTAGGAAATGCCTTAGACAAGCAGAAGCAAATCTCAGAACCAGCCAAAGCTGAAGCAGTGGCATTATCTTGTGGATTAACTTCTGTACAATGACATTTAAAATTATCATAAATTAATCTTATGACAAAATTATTTAGCCCACCATGGTCTAATTTAACTGCAGTTCAGCACAAACATATTCAGAGGTCATCTCCAGTCATGTCTGAAATTAAAGCTAAGACTTGCAAATGTTTTATCTCTAGTTGTTGTTTCTTCTGGATGGAGTCTTTCTTAGCATAACCTGGGAATGAGTCAGAAGCAGTTTAGGATTTCATGGCCACTATTACAACCATGGGTCTGAAATCAATCCAGATTATAACAGGTCTGATTCATATATTCTGCATCTCTTGAACTCAGAGCCAACGAGGTTCTGAAAGCAGAAGGTATTACAGAATGATCAGATAATTTTTGTGTAATCATGATTTGTTAGCCCCACCAAATTCTTCAGGAGCCATTAAAATGGCCCACTTGGCTTTCAGAGGGTGCTTAGGAAATGAACAGACAATTTAACAAACAATTTTATTGAGTACCTAACTAACTAATGCAATATAGGTGTGATGAAGGCACTAGATGGGATAGTTCTCAAGTGGCCTCTTCCTGTCTGCTGATCCAGGAGCCTTGGATCTGGGAGAAAAATCAAAAGAAGGGCATATAAAATAGTGCTGCAGAAAATAAATAACACAATTGGCCATTGTATGTAGTAAGCTCATATCTGAGTCTAAACTGTGATGATAAGTATTAAGAAAAAGTTGGTACTTCTTGGCATCTATTGTATTAGTGGAATGTCATCCAGCCGCAATGTCACTTTTGGATACAATTGGGCCCAAAGAGCTTAGCATTGGCCACTAAGACTTCTCTAAGCACTTTATTAACAATATCATTACAGCTTATTTTGTAATTATAATGCTGGCTGGCTAGCTGGCTGGCTGGACTCTGAAGAGATGGCATCTTGTGATAACATCTGAGATTTGTCTAATCCTGGGAACTTGATAAAATGAAGAACATCCTTTGTGAGTGATCTAGGTCCATNCACTAAGTTTTTCACAACAAAAACATCAAGGCATTTCTAGTCCAACCCCATTACCTCATAATAATCTGCTTTTGAAATATGAAACCAAAGCATCAATATTCTCCAAAGCACCTGAAGGTAGAATATGCTTCAAAGCACCAAGATAGGACAAGAAGCAATGGATGGAAACTAATCAAGGAGAGAACCAACTTAGAACTAAGGAAAAATTAATCAGTGGAACGATTTGCCTCCAGAAGTTGTGGGTGCTCCAACACTGGAGGATTTTAAGAAGAGATTGGACAAGTGTTGGTCTGAAATGGTATAGAGTTTCCTGCTTGAAGAAGCAGGGGTTGGATTAGAAGACCTCCAAAGTTTCTAACTCTGTTATTCTTTTATTCTGTTAAATTGGAATAAGTCAAAAGTTTAAACACACTGAAGCTGTTAGGTTCTAAAATATGCTAACATATATTTACACACATACATAATTAAATTCAGGAGACCAATCAGTAAGCAAAATTAAATGTTTCTTGAATGGTAGGGTTGGCTTCCTGGTCTAGCTAAAGGAAAGAGCTGAGGAAAGAAAAAAGAAGCTGACTGGCCAAATGAGGAACCTACATAAGTCATAGACTATCTGTACCACCTCTATGATTTCTCCTGATTTCTTTTCAACCTACAAACCTTACACTTTAAGCCTCAAGGCAGAATTAACTTTCAATATTTTGCATCTGAACATAAGTACATAAACATAAGTATAGCATAAACTGGAACTGGACCAGTCTCTAAAGTAACAAAACCTGGAGGACTTTCAATTACTGTACTAGGAAATATGCTACCCCTTTTTGTAGCAAGATCATTTTCATGTTTTATGCATTATTATTCTGAAGAAAAAATGAAACAAAAATGTTTGTATTCTTCTGAAACAGAAGTTATTTATGTTAGATAAACTTCTATATTGGCCTACGCACATATACACACATACAAAGGAAGGGGTTTCAGCATTTTTAGAAAAAAAGAATCTCTATTCCTTTTCAGAAATGAATTTTTCATTATTAAATTATACTAATATTATAGTTCCAAATTATTTCCTTCAGTGAGAAAGTTTCAGAATTAATTTACCCTTTTAGAATATTTTTTGGGGTTTTTTTTGTGTTTTTTTTTTTTAAATAATTTATGAAATGGGGAGATAACCCACATTCCCTAAGAAAAATAGACAATCGTAGGAAAACAAACTAATGGAAAAATGAATACAGATACCACTGCTAATTTTTGAAAAAAAATCTCTCAGAAAACCAGACAACGTGGAATGGACTGTTTATCCAGTTAACAACTTTAAGTTATGTGGACTTGAATTCCCAGAATTCACAACATATTGGCTGGGAAGTTTGGGAGTTGATATCCACATATCTTAAATTGCTAAAGTTGAGAAACACTGATATAGGGAATTTTAATTGTTTTTGAAATAGCTAAACATGGCTTTTTCTTTACTTTCATTCTTCAGTTACTTCTTCCTCTCCCCTCATTTCCATCTAGTACTGTCCTCCACATTCTGTTTAATAGCATTTCCTATAAAGCTATACTTTTCTCTTGCCCCATTGCCATTGTGTTTCTCCCCTCTTTTTTTTTGCTGAGAGGAGAAATGCAAATAGTGTATTTCTCTGTATGAAAATGGTTTCTGTGAGAGACTGTGAATGGCTCTGAGTGAACAGGTAACAGAAACAATTTTATAATTTTAGGTAACAGACATCAGTTTTAATCAATAGATATTAATTTGTAATGCATATTTGTCCTGACCTTGCCATTTGCAGAAGTGTGGCATTTGGCAAATGTATATGTATAAATCTGGTATGTGTGTTATGTATGTATATCACCCACATATATTATACACATTCATATATTTACATGTAAATGGCAACATTTTCAGAACTGGTATAAACTAGTTGCAATGTAAGGAAAATGAACACTACACACATATGTTTCTCTCTCTGTCTCTCAGGCCATTTTAAATTCACATTCATCTTCTTTTAGAGCAACCATGAAAAGATATTCAAATGCTGTGATGGGTCTATTCCCTATGACTCCCCATGGAAATGAAAAGTGGACTTCAAAGAGGTGGGATAGGAAAAATACTGAGGCTTTTAAGTTTGGTGTCAGAGAAGACTCCTGAGAATACTATAGCCAGCCAAGAAAACAAACAAAGGATCATTGAACAAATCAAGTCAGAATTATCACTTGAGAACAAATGGCCAGGCTCAGATTATCCTACCTGTAACATATTAGGTGGAAAGCTAGTTCCCTAGACAGAAGGCTCTAATGCTAGGAAAGGTGGGAGGAATGAAAAGAGGATGACTAACAGCAAAGTGGATGGACTCAGTAACGGTGGTGATGAGTACACTATTGAAAGATCTGAAGGTTAGGGACAGATTGCACTGGAAAATATCTATCTTTTTGGTCACTAATGAGTTGGTCGCACATAATCAGTCAAAAAAAGTAATTTTATCTATGTTATTGTTACTGTTTATAAACCACTTCAGTCAACACTTATGCTTCATATGTAACTATCACAAAACACACATTTCGTTGCATTCCACTATCTAAGAAATAATAAGAATAACATGCACAAAATTTTTTTGATTAAGAGGGGTACCCAGAACCTACCATATTCTGTTTCTTCTGCAACATCTCTAAGTGTTCAACCAATCCCTCATCAGCAACATCGAATGGTGTTTGACCCTAAAGGCATGTATAACAATAGCAAATATTTATTCTGGACTTGGCATTTCTTTAACATGAGAAAAAGATTCTTTGTGTCTTTGTGAAAAACAAATTTAAAAATATGGAAAACTACTTGGCAAGAATTGGAAAAAATTTCAAGGTAACTCTTTTTCTTAGAAATGCTTTCCATGTATTTTAACTTGTACTCATTGCCAAATTAGCTTATACCTGTATTTTAGTATGTATTTTTCATTATATAGCCAGATATAAATATGGAACAGGAAATACCGTATATGGCTATTAGACATATTGGGATGTCAAAATATCAGATACTGTTACCCCAAATAAAAACATGCTATAGCAATAGTATCAAAATTATATTTTGTATCAGATGAATTAGAGCAGGTACAATATTCCTAATCCAATTTCCAATCATTCTTCTTTCTGTGACAATTTCTCCATGTTAGTCCATGGTTAAAGATTATGCCAGTGCTAATCTTAATATTAAATGGTTAACCCATGTCCCATTGCGTCATCATTTCAGAGATATTTTCTTACCTAAACAAAAAAACAGAATGAACGCAAGTGGGCAAAAAAGCATTGGGAGAGACAGTGACTTCCTGCCAGCTTTCCTTGTAGGAAGCTGGCAGGGTGCATTGGAAATCCTGACCACGTGACTTCAGCTGACCAAGGCAGCATAGCAGTATAGTAGCACTGATTAACTTTGCCAAATTTCAATCTCATTGAAGACATGGGTCCCAGATTTTGGATGCATTCTGTAAATCAGCCCACTTGAGATACGCCTGTCCTCATGTAAGGTACCATTTTGCCCAATTGCGGGTTACAAACCATTAAATACATAAGAGTTTTAGCAGTATACTGGACAATCCATTACACATTAGGTCATCCTTTTGGAGATATTTCCTTACCTAAACAGAGAAACAGAATGGCCATGGAGGATTGCTATTGTTTGGGTTTTAAAATTAAAGAAGAAAATATGAATCACTGGTTTCAGGACTATTAGCAGGAAATCTAGATGTTGTGCTAAAATTATCTTAAAGTTGGATTCAAACATGATCACCATTGTTATCATGCTTTCTAGTTAAGTTTCGCTTGTCTCTTTTTCACTATTTCCTTAAAAATATATATGCCTGATTTTCCTATATATTATATTTATAACAAAATTGATTTTGCCCCAAGAACCTTAACAGTTTACCCATCACTTTCTCCTATATAGTTTTGGATCCTTTCTCATGTTTTCTTCCCCAAAATGGGAAGAATAACAAAAAGAAATTTTATAATACTCATTTTATAAAAGACAAAAAAAGAATGAATATTTTTGTTTATGCTGTTGGCCCTGAAGATATTAAGCGAACTATTACAGTAAACCCATTGTCATAGTCAGGTTAAATTTACAATTTAAAAATAAACAAAACAGAAGAAAATAGTATTATAAACAGCATAAAGAATACATTTTTACCTGATACAGAGCATAAAATGTACATAATGCAATCAATTTAATTGTTGAGTAATGCTGAACCACCGATAATAACATAAATCAATTTTAAAGCTTGTTTAGTTGACAAAGAAACATAGTCAACATTTCTTTTAAAAAAAAATCCTTCCTCTTTGGGAGTATTTATGGTATGTTGCTAGTCTAAGACTCACTAACCAGCTTGTTCCTGATGTCCATATCACAGAGTGCTTCAGCCAAAATAGTGCAAGCTTCTTTCACCCCCCAGTGTGCAGCAGCATGGAGTGGTGTCCATCCATCATTGTCCTGAATATTTACATTAAACCCAGCTTGTATCAAGAGTCTAAGGAAAAAATAGCAAAGATGGCAGCAATTCAGTCTTGTAAGTTAGTAAACACTGTAAGCAGCATGCAGTGGCTTTGTGAATGAAGCTTATCCTATGATAGAGATCAGTGTGATCAAGTAGACAGCTCTAAATGGTAAAAAAGAAGTCAAGTTTAAGGTAAAGGATAAAATAGCTTCTTCCTAACAATGATGGTAATTAATGATTGACCTTAGAGATGGAATTGAAGAATCTGAGAAAAAGAGAGCTCAAACAGATTTTTAGGAAATGCCTTAGACAAGCAGAAGCAAATCTCAGAACCAGCCAAAGCTGAAGCAGTGGCATTATCTTGTGGATTAACTTCTGCACAATGACATTTAAAATTATCATAAATTAATCTTATGACAAAATTATTTAGCCCACCATGGTCTAATTTAACTGCAGTTCAGCACAAACATATTCAGAGGTCATCTCCAGTCATGTCTGAAATTAAAGCTAAGACTTGCAAATGTTTTATCTCTAGTTGTTGTTTCTTCTGGATGGAGTCTTTCTTAGCATAACCTGGGAATGAGTCAGAAGCAGTTTATGATTTCATGGCCACTATTACAACCATGGGTCTAAAATCAATCCAGATTATAACAGGTCTGATTCATATATTCTGCATCTCTTGAACTCAGAGCCAACGAGGTTCTGAAGGCAGAAGGTATTACAGAATGATCAGATAATTTTCGTGTAATCATGATTTGTTAGCCCCACCAAATTCTTCAGGAGCCATTAAAATGGCCCACCTGGCTTTCAGAGGGTGCTTAGGAAATGAACAGACAATTTAACAAACAATTTTATTGAGTACCTAACTAACTAATGCAATATAGGTGTGATGAAGGCACTAGATGGGATAGTTCTCAAGTGGCCTCTTCCTGTCTGCTGATCCAGGAGCCTTGGATCTGGGAGAAAAATCAAAAGAAGGGCATATAAAATAGTGCTGCAGAAAATAAATAACACAATTGGCCATTGTATGTAGTAAGCTCATATCTGAGTCGAAACTGTGATGATAAGTATTAAGAAAAAGTTGGTACTTCTTGGCATCTATTGTATTAGTGGAATGTCATCCAGCCGCAATGTCACTTTTGGATACAATTGGGCCCAAAGGGCTTAGCATTGGCCACTAAGACTTCTCTAAGCACTTTATTAACAATATCATTACAGCTTATTTTGTAATTATAATGCTGGCTGGCTAGCTGGCTGGCTGGACTCTGAAGAGATGGCATCTTGTGATAACATCTGAGATTTGTCTAATCCTGGGAACTTGATAAAATGAAGAACATCCTTTGTGAGTGATCTAGGTCCATATATACTAATATGCCATGGAGGGAGAACTATTAGGTTCAAGTAGTGAATGTGTTTGGTGTGAAGAGAATGATAATACTATCAATCCTGTCAGACCCCACGAACCAAGAATGACACATGGAGTTACTTAAGAGTAGTTTCCTTTACTGTTCTTCACCTATAGACAGGATCTTGCCAGCCTAAAGCTACTATTTTCATAAATACAGATATACCCTGGGAATAGCTAGGGAGGAGTCATTTTAACTCTCTTCATGGCAAACAAAGCTCTTCCATTCCTTTGCCCTCTGGAAAGCAGCCCCACTCTCCTGGGAATCCAGACTATATTCCATCACAAATCATCCTGGGTAGCCTGCAAGTGGTGGAGAGTAGGAGGCACTGTTTTGAAGTTGTAGAGTTTAAACTAGCACAAATGTATTTTATTACTCTATGCCAAGTTCATAGGAATCTTCCCAGATTGGCAGATATATCTGGGAAAGACTAAATAAGGCTCAAAGGCTGGCTTGTGTTTATGTAACAAGTCAATGGTAATTCCCCATTTGATACCCCCTCCCGCCTGGGACAGTTGTTCTCCAGCATTGACAGATGGAAGGATTAGACAAGTTACTGCAACATTCTGTTTCAAGTGACAGTTAATGTTACTTTCTTACTACTACCCCAAAAGGAACCTATATACATATATTACTGAACTTAATATATGGTGCAGGACACATATACAATTATAGCATTGCTTCAACTGGAGGTCAGTTCCAAATCAATACTCCATAAATCAAGTCATAACTGCTATCCCATTAGTTTCTAAGAATCTAAAATTAAGTAATTCAGCCTAAGAGGAATTGTTGTAAAGAACTAGAACTCAGCACCCTTCCATATCACTACAAAATCTCTTAGAAGACAAAATAAAAATAATAAATTTCAGAGATTCCAGGATCTCTTAATACTGATATTTCTGAAAACTCAAAGGAATCATTCTAGGTCTAGGAAATGTTCAAATGTAAAACGTAAGACATTTCTTGAATGGAAGTAATAAAGGAATAAAAAAATAAGGAAAAAAATGTATTACTGTAAAGTGGTTTACACAGCACTGGCAAATACAGAAAGCAAGCATTCAAAACTGAGATCAAAAAGTTCTGCTTCCCAAAAAATGAGCACTTAATGAACAAAGGAAATGTGTTCTTCAGTAAAGTTTTTCAAATGCTGATGCTTCCAATACTACCATTCTGGTTTTAGTACGCGACAGTAGCAAAAAAGCAGGCAGATATTACGCGCAAGTTAACTGATATTTTCTCTGAAGTTGATAAAACAAGCAAATCTTATTCCTACATAGCAAAAAATCACTGTAGTGTGTGGGTAAGCCTCTATCCTAAAAGTAGAACCCTAATTTGTATTTACTTACCATTCCTGTATTGTATTTGAATATTTGTCTAAATTTTTACCTTGGTTATGACCAATACATAAAAAAAAGAAATACCATCTGAAAAATAGATGTCAAAGTTAACTTCATAAAATCAGGAAAATAAACAAGTGAAACTTGGTGCCTATTTCATTCTTACAAGGTAGGGCATAAATTGAGGGCATATATCAGTCTAGTATCTGATTTTTTTTATTATAAACAATATTGTGTTTGAGTGGTTAAATGGCCTAGACATTGGTATTTGAACATAGATCCTTTTAAATTTATATAGCTGCCCATTTCACAGCAGACAACAATCCAGTAGAACAAGAGAAATATAGAACAGTCATTATCTAAAGCCATTATCTAATAATTATTAAAAACATTTAAAACTATAGAAGCAAAACTAAAACAGAACAATAATAACAAGTGGAGGAGCATTAGGGGTGCCACCCCACTAGTTCATAACAATCTTATTAAATTCTAACACAATGACTGGGTTTGACTATTTTGCTAATGTTTAACTAAATTTCCCATAGTTTCTGCCTGCTTCACTAGGCCCAGAAAAGAAGAGATGCTTTGGGTTTCTTTCATCAATTAATGTATTATGGTAGCTTCTCTGTGGAAGTACCTGCTCTGTACAATAGCATCTCTCTGGAATTCTACTCCTGTAAGCCGTTTGAAAGGCTCTGAAAACCTGGTCATTTCCCCAGGCATCTGGGCCAGGATTTGGTTATATGAACTCTGCTGGTGAGGTGGTTTTTAATGATTTGTGATCTTAAGCATGGATGTCAATATTTTAAATCTTGAATCCTACCCAGAGTCACTGATATGAGATGGGCAACCATATAAATCATATCAGTAACTGACAAAATAAGCTAAAACCTAACCAACTACATTACGGCTTACAGTATATTTGAACCCAGCCATGTAACTCTTTTTGGTTGCAGTTATTCCCATCGTTTAGTATAGCAGACAATAAAAAGAGATCAGTACCTCATCACCTCACAGTAGTCTTTAGCTGCAGCTACGTGGAGAGCAGTAGCACCTGTTCGAGGGTGCTTTCTCTCTTCAATTTTCCTTCTATTTAGCCACTGTCGGGCATCTTGCAACATTTGTTGTTCTTCTGCTTTTCTGGCCTGATCAAGATCCACTCCTGGAGAAACAGACTGCAGGTGTAAAAACACTTAGAGGTAGAACAAAAAATGATAAAACAGAAGGGGAGATAAATATCCACATTATTACAATGGGAGCAAAATTAAGTTTTTTTTGACTACATATTTTTAAAAACATTTTTTTTTGCTCTTAGGGGTATAGCTATTTATAATTCTACTGAATAATATCTGATGCTTTCAAGTCATTCTGAAGAAGAACTGGCACAATTGCTAGTTTGTATGGCCAATGATTATTCCTCATCATCAACAAAATACTGAGGTGTTTGTGCATGGAATATTTGCAGAAAGTTATAATCAATGATAGAAAAGCCAGTTTCCATCTCATGGGGTGAAATAAATCTACTAAAATTCCCACTTTCAGAGCATACTGATTTCCTTACTGAGAAACTTAGTTACATTATTAACACGCTGAAAATGAAAAAAAAAAACATACCAGTCAAAACTATCTATTTCAGCATTTCTCTAGAGTCAAAATATCAAGATGTTTTCATATGAATCTTTATGGGAGAATGGAACAATTTTTTTATACTAAGTTTATTTAGGAGAATAAACCAATTAGCATATTGATAATTGTGATATAAAAATAATATTATGTCACACTTTTAAAATGACACATTTTATCTAAAGTTTAAAGAGATTCCACAGAAAATTAAATATATTTAGAAATCAATGGAACAAATAGTTTGCAGACACCTAAAAGACCATCAACGATAATTTAGCTTTTCATCAGCTGAGGAGAATCAAATTGGCTTCATTTCCAAGATAACATACTGTAATTGGCAAGAACTGCACTTTGCGCAGTACTTTTTTTTATAGCTATTGGGCAACCATCCATATTTCCTATACAGTAAATGGCCAATCACCAAACTGTAAAAAACTCTCAAGGGTCTATGGACTAGCTGTCTGTATAAAATTATCCTTTGTAATTTCATATGAAATATAAAGCAACATTTTTTCCATATGTCAGTCATCAAACTCGGTTTCTCCTCTTCAGAGGATACTTAGAACGTCTATACAGAAAGAGTGAATGAGAGTTCAAGCTGCAATGCCAAAAATTTACCGGGCAAGAAGACTGGATAGTGATCATATGGGATAGTTAAGTTTTGTAAGCATCCCACAGAAAACCGATATGTTGGTGCAAAATTTTGTTTTACACATATACAAAATTCGTTCTACAATAATTACCTATTACATATGCAATATTTTAATATATTTTCAGAATGTTTTAAAAATCATAATAAGATGTGGAGCCAAATTTAAGAATAAGTGGATTGTATTTCATGCCATGCATCTCTGTTCCTGAAGAAAGAGTAAGAAAAAAACCCATCAAACAAAATCTAATGATAAGGAGATGCCTAATAGCCTCACCCTGCTTCTTTACTTGTTCCAAAAGCAAATCTTTCATGACTGCTTCCTCTGCAAGGTCAGATGGGACTTCACCTTCACTGTTCACAGCAGCAACATTGGCCCCGTGACTTATCAAGTACCTATATAGATGAAAAATAAATGAGACTCCACTTCAACACAAGCTTAATTTATGTGGCCCTCAAACAAACCAAGTCATCAGATAAGAAATCTTCCATCACAGGAAAGAAGCAGTGATAGTTAATTTTTCAGTTAACTGAGAAACTGTAATAGGTCTGTAATCTTTTGGAAATAACCAGGGATTTTTTCCCATGTTAGTAATATTAAACTACTTCATTTTTTAATGTAAAGGGGTCATTTATTCCAAATATGCATCTCTAGTTCATCAAACCTTTCTATGCAAAAAAAAGATTACAATTCTTATGATTCTTATGGTTTGGCTAATTTATGTATTCTCATCTCAAATTCATCTTGCCACTGCAGTATTATAAAGATCATTATCAAATATTACAAGGCAATCATATCTTATCAGAAATAAGTCCCACTGAGTTTAGTGAGACTTACCTCCAGGGAAAATATGGACAACAGTTCCACTTGTTAATTTTCTGAAGTTTGCATTCCTTACATCTCAAATGGTTCCAACAGTAAAAGGAACTCTTAATATCACTGCACTGGATCACCATACGCTTATATTTATCAAAGAAAGCTAATAGAGACTGGCAAATATGGAACTCACCATCCCATCCCATTACAATAATTCTGTTTTCAAAGAAACATTCTTGTACAGTGGCATTCTTCTGAAAGTGTTATATTCCTATTATTGATACTGTAATAATGGGTAGAATAAGAACTTTCTGAAACTGAGGACCATACCATTTCCCAGAAACCAAGGACCCAAGGCTCAGGACAGTAACATGCTATAATTCTATCACCAATGGAAACTGGGCTGGAATTTTCAACCTATTTTTCCAGCTTGGATAGGGGAATTAAAGTATGTTTATTATCAGAGATTCATCAACCTTATCAGAAAGTGAGGATTAGGCTTTGCTTTATTACAGGTAGTCTTTGCTTACTAATAACCCTTGGGACCAGGACTTCTCTGTGAGGCATGACACCACATAATTATGCTGATTTATAATAGCAGTCCCAGTTGCTCTCATTAGGCAAATCCCACATGGTCACAGGGTTCCGCCGTCACAGGATTACCATTTGCAACCTTCTGGTGGCTTCCTTCTTGACTCTGCTTGTTAGAAAACAGCAGTGAAAGTCGTAAATGGTGACCACATGACTTCAGAACTATGACATTGTAATTGCAATCCAGTTGCCAAGTGCCTGAATTGTGATAACATGACTATGAGACACTGTAATGGCCAGAACTATGAGGACCCATCATAAGTGCTCCTCATTCAGTTCCGTAGTAAATTCGAATAGTCATTGAATGAGTGGACATTAAATGAGGTATTATCAATATGCTGATGATACTCAAATTTACATCTCTATCCCTGGTGATCCAAGTGATGTGACAGCTGCCTTCTCAAGGTGTCTGGAGGCTGTGGAGATCTGAAAGGGGGACAACAGACTTCAGCTGAACCCTGGTAAGATGGAGGGAGTGGCTGTGGGCTCAAGGGGCCTTGGAATCTGGGGGTTTATTATCTTTAGTTATGGATGGGATTGCACTACTCCATACAGATTCCATGCATTATCTGTTGTTTCTCCTAGCCTTACCACTCCTGCTCAAAGAGTTGTGGCTAGGAGAGCCTTTGCAAAACTTTATGTTGTGCACCATTTGCGCTCTTTCCTGGATTGTGAGGCCCTGCATACAGTCACTTGTGTCTCAATTGAATTACTGCAATGTGCTCTACATGGGAGTACTCCAAGTATTTGGAAGCCACAACTGATGCAACTAATGCAAAATGCTCCAGATAGTTCTGGAGGCCTCTCGGGTGGCAGACGTAACATCATGAGCTGCCAGTTTGTTTCTGGGTCCAATTCAAGGTGTTGATCATTAGCTTTAATTAGCCTTCTATGGCATGGCCCACAGTATCTGAGGAGCAGTCTCATCCTAATGGGACTAGCTCACCCCACTAGTTCCAATATAAGAAGCCTGGTTTGGATCCCATCTGCCAAAGAATTTTAGCTGGTGGGGTTCAGAAGAAAAGCTTTTTCTGCTGTGGCCCGTGTCCTCTGGAACAGTTTCCTGCTGAAGATTCGCCCCCAACACTCCTGGCCTTCTGGAAAAGCCTGAAAACCTGGTTCTGCTGGTTGGCCTGGGGCTACATTGAAGGGTGGCTGACAGGGTAGAGAGAAGATCCCCAGCCCGATATTGCCACCATCTTTTAGCTTCCTGTCTAATCCTAATAATTTTAATTGTTTTGTATTACTTTTAGTTTTTTATAATATTGTAAGCAACCCACAGTTGCTGTATCTGTGAGATGGATGGCATAACAATTTAATGAATAAAGAAATAAGGGCTACTTGTGTTACCGCTGCTGTTATTATTAATTTTTCCTTTGTAGCATCACAAAAATGAAATAACAGCTGATATGCATTTGGAAGCTATTCGACATCTTTGATGTTATAGAGTCTTTTGGTATCAAAGATCCTATTTACTTTTCATAGGATTTCTCTAAGGAACTAATTGCATGTAGTGTTTTTGATGCTGTTAAATAATAATACCAACACAACATAATCATCCTAAATTTAAGACTTCATGCATTGCTGAAGTGTCTTAAAATGTAAATCAGAGAGATAATATTAAAATCAGGTTACCATTGCAATATTCTGACACATTCAGTTTATTATTTTTTATTAATTTGATCCCGTTATTCATTGGGTTTATATCCCATCTTTCTACTTATTTTGAGCATTCCATCATTTGCACTGAAGATTTAGAGGACTGCTGATAATTTCTGTTGCTTCAGCTAATACTTTGTAAAGCATATCCATACAAGCAGAAATATACCTATGTTTTAGTCTCTTAGGTACTTGCTTGTGAATTCATTTAAAATTATTGTTCCTCTCACAACATCTGAAACTGAAATAAATCAAATACTCTTTCTAGTATCCAGGTCACACTGAACTCACTCACTCTGCTATGTTCAGATAGCCACAAGATGCAACTGCATGAAGTGGGGTCCATCCCTCGTTATCTTGCTGATTTACATTGGCTCCATATTCTACCAGAAATTTTACCATGTCCAGGTTTTCATCTATACAGGCCTTTGGAATAAGAAGGGAAGTGGGAATGAAAAGAGAGAGAAAGAGAAAGATTAAAATGAGCAAATATCACTTTCCGTTTTAACAGATGTAAATGATAGCAGGGACTTCACTCCCATACTGAGCCTGCCTTTCTTTCAGCAACCACTGATATCTTCATACAGCCTGGTTCTCCTTTCACTATGCCAACAGACCAGGAGTCAACTCCCCGCAAAATGATCTTTTGGTATTCATTTTAGGAATGGCATCAAATCCAAGAAGCAGATTAAAAGTTGGAACATGTTGTTCCAGGAAAGCTTCAATGAAAGAGATTATGTCAGGACATTCACTGGAATGATATATGGGAGAACTAAAGCAAGTAAGATTTCTGCAAAATACTTAAGAGCCAATTAGAAAAAAGGAACCATTACTTAACTTAGAGAAAATAACGTAGTAGGGTTTTGTTTGTTTGTTTGCTTGCTTGCTTTTGTGTTTGAGTCAGGTTTGGAGATTTTTTTTTTATTGCTGGCAACAGTGTGGAGAGGTGTCTGAAGTTTTTTTGGCAAAATTTTTGAAGTGGTTTTCCATTGCCTCCTTCCTGGGGCTGACAAAGAGTGACTGGCCCAAGAGTGTCAATTCTAGTCTCACCTTAGGCACAAAGCCAGCTTGGACCAGTAACTCTCTCTCAGCTTAGGAAGGAGGCAATGGCAAACCACTTCCAAAATCTATCCAGGCAGTCACCCAGAGTCAACACTAACTCAAAGGCAAATCTAAAGATAAATCTATCTTTATCTTTATCAGAGATCTGCACTAATACAAAGTGTTTGTCTTCTCAAGTAGGTTCCAAACATAAAATGTTCAAGGAACCTAAACAACTTTAAGAAAATAACATGTGCAAACTTTATGATAGGTCAGGTGTATTTTGTGCACTGAATACTAAAATAGAACTGATATACATATTGAATAAAATAAATTGTTTTTACAAGTATAATATACTGGCTTCCCACTAAACAGACAAATTATTCAAACGAGAAATAAAAAGTACTTGGCAATGCTACCTACATGCCATAAAGAACTATGTCTACCAAGACACAAAATTGGGACATTCTGCAAACATGCTAAAATATTAAGCAAATATCAGGCTTGTGCTGCACATTTGTTTGGAAATAAATTATATACAATTGTGTAAAAAGAACTACCAAGTATAAACTGCAGTACAAAATTAACGACTAAGCAAATAATCAATATGGAAAATAAATTTACAAGTTATTCCACTAATAAGAATCCAGAATACAATGGTGAGCTCACATATCCAGAACACATAAAATAAAAATACTATATGACTCATACGAACTCTTTGGGAAATGATCTGATGAGTTGCAGAATGCTACCTCCTATATTCTATGGCTTCAGGATGTTCTCTTAGCCACTGGCTAAAATGCAAAACCCATAAAAAATAAAATACAGTACACAAGAATAACAGAAGTAATAGTTTTCTTACTGGTACATGAGAGAAGCATATAGAACTACTTATTTATTTAACTGCAGTTTAAATCCCTTACTATGTTTATTTGAGTGGCAAAGCAAAGCCTAACAGCTGAAATTCACTTTGTATAGCAAGCTCTAATAGAGTAGAACAAAAATTGTGGTTTGCAAGCTGTAAGCGGTCAACCAACCTGCCAGTAGTGGGATTCAAATATATGAACAACCAGTTCTCTCTGTGTGGATGCCGCTTCCAGAAGTCCATTCCGGGCCTAGGCAACAAAAAATTAGCTACCAGTTCTGCTGAAGTGGTGCGAACCGGCTGAATCCCACCACTGCAACCTGCCCACCCCAATATCAACTGCTAGATATTATATAGATGGGCCTATTTATTCCATTATTTTTATAATACAAGAAAAGGTATACTAGGATCAATAGAGATGTAAAGACCTAAACTGAAATTATTTTTTTCTCACCTTGTAAAAATAATTTTCCTATTTTTTCTTTTTTCTACTATTGTCCACATCTGTTGTTTTGAATGCATCACACAAATCACTGCTTATTTTTTTTAATCTTGGTCTTTAACCAATGCAATACATACTTTCTTAGATAAATGTTAGCCTTTTTATTTACCTTTATACATCTTTTCCTTTTTGCTTACTTTTACAGATATATAATCTTTTTCTTTCTCTGATTCATGCTTTTTAATATTTATTCCTTTTATATTCCACGTCACAATAATCCAGACAGCCTGAGAAACACTGAAAGCTACTACCCATAGTAGTTTTAGTCAACTAATACTATCACATAACATTTTTTAGAAAACTATATGAAGTGTAGACTAGATTACCAACTTAGTCATATCTATACAATTTGCAGTATCAGCAGTTGTGGGATTCAGTTGGTTCACACCGGTTCGGTACAACCAGTAGCTAAATTTTGTTGAGTTTGGAGAACCGGCTGAACCCATGCTGCTTCTGGAAGTCAGGTTCTAGGCCTTGGAGGCCTGGAGGAGGTCTCCCAGGCCTAGAATGCCCCACCAGAAGTGTGTGGATGTCACTTCTGGAAGTCCATTCTAGGCCTGGTGGAGGCCTCCCAGGCTTAGAACGGCCCACCGGAAGTGCATTGATGTCATTCTGGAAGTCCATTCTAGGCCTCGGAGGCCCAGGCCTGCATCCACGCAGAGAACCGGATATTCAAGTATTTGAATCCCACCACTGAGTATCAGTATCAATCAATTTTGGCCCAGGTTGACTGCATGCACAACCAATGCTCCGTTTACCCATCACAATCCCTATGTGACTTAGCATCTCTAAGCTAGATATTGGTTTGCAAGCCAATACATTGTTGCCCCATCTTAACCGATGATGAAATACATATGGTGCATTACATAGTGCACCGGTACATACTAAAATGCTAAAATGACAATCATGTAGATTAATTTGAATAGATATTATAATTGAGTTTATTTGGCTACTTACATGTTAATTTATGGAATTAGGTTTCACAAAGAATAATTTGTTTTTAATTGCACCCTGACTTTATTTTGCTTGCAATATTGTACTATTATACTATGCACTGTATATTATTGTACAACAAAACATTGTCTTCCTTTGCTACTTCTCATTTCCTACTCTCCAAATCAATAAATCAAACAAATAAAACCAACGATAAATTAACCATGTACTTTAAAAGGGTGAGTGTGTGCTTTTTTCTAAGCAAGTCCAAATTATTTCTAATTTTATTAAATGCTCATCCAAAAAAAGGACAATTTTGGGGGGATTGTAAGGACAGTTTTTCATATTTGAGATGTTACAAACGCACTGAGTATGTATGAGTCAGCAAAGCATGACCCAGTAACTGTAACTCTCACTTGAAAGTCAGTTCTAAGTTCACTAATGATTTACATTAAAATAATTGTATTATTACAATCTTTAGAGAAGATAAAATAAAATAACCTTTATTGTCATTTTTTACTGCAGGCACACTGGCACACATTAAAAATGAAATTCTGTTGCTTGCTCTCAAAAGTGTACACATACATAACACACATATAAACATGCTATATAAAACACATGTATATACTTTAAAAAATTAAGAGAGATTAAGTACATAGGCATGATTTGGGAATTATTACAGATAAAAAACACAAAGGAAATAACAGGTGAGAGAGCAGGCAAAATGATAGTGATTGGGTATAACAGAGTCTGGCTCAATATTATGGACTTCTGTTTTGTGTTTTTTTTTTCTTCTTTTTCTCTTTTTAAAATGGTAATGGAAAAATAACCTGGTGCATTTGTTTGGATTTTGTACAGTGTGTAAATCAAGGCAAAGTTATATATGGCCATTTTGCTCTTTTCTTTTCAGTCAAACTCAGATTTGCTTTTTTTCTTGCAAATTTTGCATGTTGCATGTTGATTAAGGCAACTTAAAAACCTCACTTCTAAATGGATAATATGATATATTATCCATTTAGAGAAGGGGAGAAGTTGCCACTATCAATTCTGCCATACTACAAATAAGGACTCTAGAAAAATCTGTAGAAATAACTGGCACATTTTTTTTTCAGATCCACCCTTTCCATGAGGTTTATGGATAATCTTTGCTCTCAAAGAATGTAAGGCATCCTCCCATTTTAAAAACTTTTAAAATTTTAGGATTGTAGATTAAATGTATTTAATACGGTATATATCACACAGAAAGCTCAAAATTACATGGCAGTATAGGTAGTCCTCGACAATTGAGCCCAGAATTTATATTGCTAAATGAAAAATTTGTTAAGTGAGTTTTTGCCCCATTTTACATTTTTTCTGCCACATTTGTTAAGTGTATCACTGCTGGTCAGAAAGTTGCAAAAGATGATCATATGACCCCATGTGCACTGTGACCGTCATAAATATGAACTAAATGACAAGCATCCAAATGTAAATCACATGACCCTGGAGATTCTGCAATGGTCATAAGTGTGAAAAATGGTCAGTACCGTTGTAACTTTGAATGGTCACTAAACGAGCTGTTGTAAGTCAGGAACTACCTGCACAAACAGCAGCATTAAATCAGACCAACCAGCAGATTGAAGCAACAGCACCTGTTTGTCTCTTGAAAATTTGGTTTCTGTAATATTTAATCAGGCCAAATTCAATTCAAAAAGCAAGAATCTAAAGCACAGTTTCTATTCAATCTATGAACCATATTTTAATGCCTTTTGAGTAACTCTAGCTCAAGCATGTCCAGAATCTTTGCCATTATTGTTATACTGTTGTAAAATGCTCCCAGATTTGGTCTGGCATACTATTCATTTCCCTGTGATCTAATTTTAGCAGTTTCTTCCTCTAAAACAGGTACAAGTTCCCACAGTCCAGGGACCATTGCAGTTTGTTGAGTATGTCTAGGGATGAATTTCAAAATGAATGAATTAAGGACCTACTTAGGAAGAGGATTTCAGAAATTTTAAATAGTAAAGCAGTTACCTTAAGCACCTGCAAACCTTAACATTACTATTTTGCCTCTTAAAAGTACTCCAAAATACAAAAGGAACCATT